GTAACTCCACTGGCTTCCTTATACAATCCGCTGCCCACAGTGGACGAGGCTAGCCTGCATCAATTAGCAGCTAGGACAATGGCCCACACCTATGCCCACAGGTCAGCTGAGATGCCTTCAGACAACTTCAGGCGGTGTCAATCTGGCAGCTGAAAGTAGCTAGGAGGCTTTCCTTCCCCTCTGTCTACTCCAAGGGCAGCCAGTGTTTAGTGACTTCCCTTCACTGCTTCCGTTCAGAAGGAAGATACGCACCAGTTTTCATGGAGGGAAACGGCTTGTGCACAAAACGCTCATCTTTGAATTAGGGAAAATTATTCTATATTTGTCATTTAAATTAATAATTTAAAGGAAGGATTCAAATCAGTTAATGATAATGGAAAAGGAGAGATCTAGGTTGAGGGAGAAAAGATTGTAGGAGCAGCTGGATAAGGAGTGAGCATCATGGATGTCTGAATGGAGTCTCTGCACACAAGCATACAAGTCAGGACGGAGGAGAGACTACAGTGCCAGCGTGCCTGTCTTCACATAACAGCTGGATGGCAGCTCAGAGTCCAAGTGGGTTCCCTAGTAATGGGAACAGGGACTGTCTCTGCCATGAACTCAGTGGCTGACTCTTTGATCACCTCCCTCCGATGGGGGAGCAGCCTTACCAGGCCACAGAGGAGAAAAATGCAGCCTGTCCTAATGAGACCTGATAGACAAGGGTCAGGGGAGGAGGGGAGGAGGACCTCTTCTATCAGTGGACTCGGGACAGGGCATGGGTGGAGAAGAGGGAGGGAAAGTGGGATCGGGAGGGGACTACAATTGGGATACAAAGTGAATAAATAAAAAAATAAATAAAATTAAAAAAAAAAGCTGGATGTCACTGCCAGGAACTGAGTGACCTTGATTTCACTCCATGGGCCCCACTGCTCTAATGCATTAACTGTGAGAGGTACAAGTGGATTGACAGGGTTAATAGTCGTAAGGCGCTCGAAGCTCTACTTCTTGCACTTTAGCTTTGCCATAGTTGAAAGTAAAGTCCTTTTCATGACTGAGATACAAAAATATTGCATGGTCTAAACATTTTCCAAGACTCCAGGAAGTTATTATGCTATGAAACACAACCATATGGGTAGAAACACATACAAACCTAATGCCGTCCTAGCACCTCAGGAGGTGCGTTCCCAACTTTCCTAATACTTGTCTGCAGTCTTCGATCCAGCCCACCTGTGTTCACCTCTTTCAAATGGGTGTGGAGACATTAACAACCAAGTGAGCAACAATCCCCATGTCTTTGCTTTGTCCCTCCAACCTCTTCACTGTAGCTGGCTACAATATCAGACTCGAATCATGCATTCATTTAATTCTTAGTTGCATACCCATTTTTAATCCATACACATTCATTTTATGCTCCAAATACTGAAAAAAGGCACAAAATTTAAGTTACTCTGCTATTAATCTCTATATGAATAATGCACCAGATTTAAAAACACATTGTGCTTTACTTTTCTTTTAACATCTTTCATGAGGCACAAGTATGTGCTAAAGACTACTGCTCTGCTTTCTATGAAAAATAGAAATCTATGCCTCAGCTACCATCTTCACCAAAGCCACCAGAATGATAAGACCCACGTATTATTACTGCAGCACTGTTCTGACTTTAAGAAACATTGACTTTCATGAGCTCATTGGGGGATAGTTTAAATAAACCAGAGGACATTTAAAAAAATCACAATTCACTCTTTTAATCAAACACAGGGCAGTGCATCATTCTGAAGCTCTGATAGGAAGTTTTGCTGGCAATAGATCAGAAGACGAGTGAGTTAGATACTCCTGGTCTCACGTCATCACAAGCTAAACCTTCAGGCATACTTCAAGACATCTTGATCTGGCTCTCTGTTCTCCACACAGCAGTACAGTAACTGCCACGCACACAGGGAGCTCACTTCATTACTCCTTTCCCTTTAAATTTATTCGCTGTCACTTTTATCTCTGGTTCAGAATCTCATTGTAATAGGCATGATTTTAAGATACTTGTAAAATGATTCATTTTTAATGTTCAAGGAGAGAGTGTTACATTCAAGGGAGTATGTTAAGCTTATATTTTAATTTTTAATTGCATTTATTTATTTATGTGTGTGCATGTGTGTCTCTGTTTGGGTGTGTGTATGTGCCACAGCCAATATATAGTCAGAGGACAATCTGAAGTAGTCAGTTTTCCCCTTCCACTGTGTGGGACTGGAGTATTGAACTCACATTGTTAGGCTTGATGACAGATGTCTATAGCTAATGCTGAGCTCTTGCCAGCTCATGTGAAAGTTTTAAAAGAATTTTTAAGTCGAACAGCATTAGGGAATATTTATTTTTTTTATATTTATAGGATGACATTTTACTTTAAATACCAAAGAGGATAACACATCTTTAAAAAGGCCACACTACAAAATGGAGCATGCAACCAATTTTACATATGTTTGCTAGTTGGTAATGGCTGATATAAATCATTTGATAATGTTATTGTTGAATATGTCATTTTAAGTGGTATTTGAAGCAACAGCTCAAAATATCTTCATTTTCTTGTTTCAACAAAAAAAATGGAAATAATTTTTGTATATGCGATCTAATGTACAGATTTTAAATTCTATTAAATATATCAAGTTTACACAAAGCCAAATGTATGAAAAGGGATCTTTTAAAAAAACTTTATTTGAGAAAGGAAGAGACTTATAACAGAAGGCAAGAAGGGAAACATACAAACAATATATTTACAACACAAAACAAGAGTTCACCTCCAAGGGTGTAAATTATAATAAATACAGTAGATCTAAGAAGACATTTATCAGTTAATATTAAGCTTAGTTATGCCCAGCTTTTATTTTGACTGGTTCCAGGTAGTTTCTTGACTAAATTGAAAGACTATCAAATTCAAACAATTAATGTCCACCAAATATACTGATGAAGTTCTCTCAAATGACATTATAAAAAATAGGGCTTTTTTTTTTCTTGTTGTTTGTGATCACATATCTTTGAAGTAATATTATACAAAAGTCTGCTCGGCCACATGTTCCTCCCCAAATAAAATGTATTTTAAAAGATGCACTATCCCTTTTTTTATGAGATTGAAAAAAGAATTTGAAGAAAATGAATATTTATGAGATGGAAAAATATACAATTTTATCTTAGGCATGCCATATTTTTAATGCAAAACAACTGACAAAAGTCATTTTAATATGAAGGAATATATTAACCCAAACATATTGGTGATAAGGAGAGTTGCCTACTAGAACTACGTGTCAAATTATCAGAAGGACTTTCATTATGTGGAAAAACTTTTAACTTTCTAACTCTAGTTATGTTAATTTAATTCAAATGGAGACTTTTTAAAAAAGGATAATGTATCTTTAGCAGGAACATTTTAAAAGAAATAGTTTTAAATGTCACAGCAAAATGTAAACAACACGTGCCAACAACATACAGTTGAACAATGTCTATATTTGGCAAAAGTGCTATGTCTCCTTGAGAGCAGGACACTACACCTTAAAATACCACGGATTAAGAAATATAAATATTTTAATAGAAAAAACCTCACGAAGATTCTAGGTCAATTTGGATTATCCATATTAAATGTGTCTTAGTACAGCTCACGTTTAACTAGCTTAACAAAGTATACCCGTAAAACAAGGCGAACACACCGAAAGGGAATATTAAGGAAATGTTCCAGCGAATAGCTTCCGTAAGGGTTTCCCTACTCATGGTGTGATTTTCTTAGACAATGAATCAATTCATAGAACACCCTTTAAAAACAGAAAGACCAGAACACTATCCTTGGATTCTTTCTCCTACACCCCCCACCAAGTGAATCACTTGGACTTCCTGTTTCCACAAAGCATTTCCTGTCCCCTCACAGAATCGCTTTTCTGTAGAACAGCAGGAACCTGACAAAGAACTGCCTTAAATAAACATTCTCTTCTGCTGCCTTCAAAGCTGTTTGTATTTTTAGAGCATCAAAGGACATGGTCCTTCTGGAGGTGCATTATATACAAGTGGATTATTCTGTGAAACCCAACATTAAAATATATATTTATTAATTTGCCAAAACGATATGATATATGTCATGGAACTATATGCAAGAGATTCTAAAGGTATCAGGTATAAATGTGAGTCACCCTCTTGTGAAACTGGTTTTAATTTGATATCAGATGGTAATCATACTATGCTTTCTGCAGCCGTACAGACATCACGGCATCCGACTGGACAAGAGTGCTGCACATCACTTCTCAAACACATTTGCATCAGCTCCATTTGCTCTTTATCAGTACACAAGGTCAGAAAATTACAGAAGGCTTAAGTAAAATGTGCAGTGCTCTATCAGACATAATGTAATGTTCAAAACAGAACTTCAGTTTGCACCTCTACTTAAAACCACCTGAACTGCTAAGATTTCCCGTCGGAAATCTTCACTGGCATGGTAACCAGAGCCTTTTCACTTAACAAAAAGGAGAGGAAAAGGGGGCGGGGCAGACTCTCTTCAACAGTGTTCAAGGCTGTAGTATGATACAGTATATACAGTCACATGAAAACTGAATCCTGTGTGTTAAAAATCACCAAATTTAATAGAATGCTTCATTGATCAGGCTGGGAGATTATATTCTGTACTCACAGACCTCAGCAGATAAAAGTAAAACAACAGTGAGTTCCATTTCCCAAAAGAAACTGTTGTTTCAGGCTTTGAGATGAGCTTAAAGCCTATTGGTTACTTGGATAGTATGTAGCATAACTTTCAGTGTAGCAGGCATTTTCTTACCAGTGAAGGTTCAATGAACCTTTGATACCCACTCAGAAATCATTATAGAGCGATCTTTATGTAGAAAAAAAATCTTTTTTACCTGCCTTAGAATTCTTAAACACTAAAATCAGAGATATAAGCTGATAGGAAATAATAACCATTTACCAAAATCTGCAACATATGATCAGATAATGACTTTAATTACAAATCCTGGAGCTAAATCTTTGCCTATTACCTGTTGCATAAAAGCAGCCTGCTCCCCACATTCCATTTCCTGTATCTGAGCTTCTTCCTCGCTGTCCACTGGCTCCTCCTTGACCTTCACAGGCCCAGGTTGTCCCAGCGTATCATCCAGAGGAGCACTGCTGTCCTTCCTAGTGCTGCTGTCGCTAGCAGTTGCTCTGTCTTCCATGGACTGGTCCCCCTGAAGCTCCTCCTCCGCTTCTTCAAGGTGGCTGCCTGGCTGCTTCAGTTGTTCAATAGATTTCGATAGCAGCTAGAAGAGAGTGTTCAGGGGTTCAGAAGTCAATAGTTCTCGATGGGACAGATTTAAGTTATACTTCTCATTTCTACTATCTCAACTCGAGCTAGAAAAGGCTGGAAGTGTGAGGAGGAAAGGGTAAATAGGCCATGTCCATGGAAGCTACAAACATTTTCACAAGGGCGTGTCTCACAAGCTCTGAATACAAATAAGCTTGAGAACAGTACTTTTATCAAAAAAGGAGGAGTTAGTACAGAAGGCCCTTGTTAACATTTCAGCAAATGTGATGGCTATGAAAGCCCCAAGAAAAATAGTCATAGTGATTTATTATTACCCTTCTAGTACTCCTCTGACGAAATTAAGACAGCATTGCCGAAGTAGAATTGTGAGATATATACAAACATTCATTGTGGGGTTCTACAATTTCAAAGTCAGTGATCTTTGACCTTTTGAAAGTGTATAACATTTTATGACTAGATCTGAACATAATTAAATAAGAAGTGAACTGGCAATTAGATTTCAAATTAAAAATCACTTACATATTTTAGTCATGTCATAAATAATTGATTAATGATTTTTAAAAAATGACCAATGACACAAGTAACTTAACCACAGAAAAGCCCACAGAGCCAAGCTTAATGAATGGGTATGAATCCTAATATGATAGCATCTGACATTGGATTTTTTGTTGTTTTATTTTACAATGAACCTATTGTTTCTCTATAGATTTCAGACTGTCTTGTCAAGGGTGATTGGAGTTTTTGGGTAAATCAATACATGTGTAAACAGCTTGCGAGCCATCCTAGTAAGTAGCATACTTACAATATGGCCACAAAAACTAAAAGTACAAGGGTTTTTTTCTGTATAAAATTTAAGTTTTCCTCACATTAACACATACCTAGGCTTTAAAAATCTAAACACGTTTTAATGTTTGAATACAAAATTACTCAAACCTTGAAGGGCATCTTTTAGACATCATGTGGTCCGTTTTAAGCAGCCCTGGACATTCTCCTATAGCCAGAAATCTAACGGGAAGGATGCATATTGGGGATGCACATTCATTAATTTTTCAACAGTTATTTATTTACTGCCAGTTAGGTTCGGGAAACTTTGCTAATGATTGAAAAAAAATGGGCATGCCTTGCTTTCAATAAATTGAGGTTTTAATGTGTTATAAATGAATCAGACATACATTTTAATCTAATGTCTATATAACAAATATTGTATTTTATATGCTATAATTACTTTAAAGAAAAAAATCTGGGTGTTATAAGAGTACCCTATGTATATAGGTTGCTATCGGGGGTGGTGAGATGGCTTGAAGGACTTGCTGGGAAAGGTGTTGTTTTGGGGATGAAAGCTGAAAAGAAGGTAGCTACACTAGAAAGATTTTAAAGAAAGGGTTATAGCTCATGCTCTATTTTTGTGGAGAATAAGAATTTACAGGCATAAACAATAATAGAATAAGACCCAAATATCTCTGAGCCCATCAGAGATGATCAAGCAAAGAGAATACATACCAATAAAAAGCCATATCAAGACGAAGAAAGAAAATTGCAATATTCACTTTCACTGTGCTAATAATTTAAGTTCTATCATTCCTGGACATCCAGCATAAGGGGAAAATTCCTCCCACCATGCTTACAACATCTTTAAGTGAATTTTAGAAAACTATTTTCTGTACAATTGTCCTAGTTCTGAACACTAATCAGCAATTCCTGTCTTAAATACATAATTGTTTGCACACTGCTGAGAGTTTAAAGAATAAATACCACAATAGTTCTAAAATCTGGCTATGGAACTGTGGGAACACATGACCTGCTGTTTTTGAAAAAAGAACATGCAAGACAATAGAATGAGAAAAAAAAGTGAAAGAAAAATCGTACTTTAAGAAAACCATTACATATCCTTCAGAGAAACCCACTGAGCAGGTCTGTCGTATTTACGTCCACTAGCTCAGCCCTGCTAGCCAGGATATAGTAGAGGAGTTTTGTATGGAGAAAAGAGCAATTTGAGAAAGGAGAGGAGAGCTCAAGGGCTATAAATGAAGATATTTACAAGAAAATGACTGACTTTTTTTTTTTTCTGTGTAGAAGAAGATTCCATGAATCATGGAAAATGTTCCTTTGACATCACAGCTTCAATTGAAATGGAATGTCAGGTATCGGCTTGTCAGAAAATGCTGGAAGGGAGGGAGGTCCAGTGATACAGGTTGAGCAGAACCTCAATATTTTTCAAACAATAACGCCAGCAATAGCTTCATGGGGCTAGCAGATAAAAAAAAAGTATGGGGTATATGGCCAAAGACAGAAGTAACAGTCACTTGTAAGAGACTGGCCAGAGAGTCCACAGCTCATGAGCTGCCTGGGCAGAGGTCCCTGCTTAATGAAGGGTAACTTTGGACAGCTTTCTGCATCTGCTCCATTTTCATGGGTCATTCTCAGAATGTCCTTGTGGGAGCCATTCCCTAACTAACATTTATGTGTCGTCTAAGCCACATTTCCATTGCCCATCTTGCTCCTCAGTTACCTTGCATTTCCTTTGACTCTGTCTCCAATACAGGCTGTACTGAACACGAGCTAGGGTGTGGCTTCTTCTTCTGTACATCAAACAGCCCCTCAATGCCATTCCTAAGTAGAGCCTGTCCTCTGTCTTCCCAACACTTGTTCCGCTGTCTCACTTGTCAAACCGTTTTCTTCTCTTCCTATTAGTACTCTTGCTTGTGATGTCACTCAAAACTACAAGCACCCAAAGACTATCCCAGGACTCTTAACAGACTAGGACAATGTTGTTCTTGCTATTTCAATCAACAGAACGTTTGCCCTAGTACAGCCAAGCCTTTGGCTTACGTCCTGGATATCAGTATCTCCCCCTCTCTTCCGGTCTATCACTATGCATTTTCCTTTCTTCTGGGCTAGTTTCACGTTTATGTTTTCAGTAACAGCATCCCCCTGAAAGAAAAACCTTTCCTTCCACCATTATCTACTTCCCTTCACAACGAAACTTGAATTCCCTCTTTGCCATTGCTATTTCTTCTTCAGTCACTTTAAAATCTGTTAATTACATTTTCATCCACAATATTTGACTTGTGAATAACAGAGCAGAGGCAAATTCAGGCGAGTACTGTAACCAACGGTTTTATTTTATTTTTATTTATGATGTGTGTTTGTCACTATGAGCGTGTCATGTGTGGGGGATGACAGTGGAGGGCCTTGGGTTAGATCCTTTGGGGCTGGAGTTACAGGTGTGTGTGAGGCGGCCAAGTGTGTACAGGTGCTAGAAAGCAAACATGAGTACCGAGAACCAAAGCGGGGTCTCTGTGGAAGAGAGAGACTCTCACCCACTGAGTCATCGCTCTGCTGCTTGCCCTCAGCCCCACCATCCATGCCCATGTAAACAGGGTATGGACAGATGTCGGTAAGACTGTGTGGTAGAGTCAAACAAGATGCAAGTCCCACCACGTGGGAAAGGAAGAGGCCGTGCTCTCTAGTGCTGACAAACAGTACTATTTACTAGAATAGGATTTCTCATCCATGGTAAGCATGTCAAAGCAAACTCACATAGGACTCTGAGTGTCTATAGAGCCATTCTGTACTTTTCACAGAAAACTTCCTGAAATTTGCCCTTGTGATGTATTTCTGAGGTCACATAAATACCCCAGGATTGGCTCATCTAGTCCATGAATTCAGTTCGCTCAGTACTTACAAATTCACTGATACAGACACACAGATGGCATTGCAGGTAATGTGTTTTCGTGTGCAGTGCAGAAATAACGCCCTTGTTTCAGTAAGTTCCCTGGCTTCATCTTGCTTTCTGAGATATTACAGAAAGACAAGGTTAACACCGGCCAGAGCGAACAATGTTGCCAATATTTGGTCATAATGCCATAAGTCTCTTTTCCAAGAACAGATTTCCACAAGGCTTTGTAAAAATGTTGGAGTTGAAAAATGTTTAGTAACGTCCTAAAATTCTTATTTTATGAAGAAGGAATCTATATTCAAAAGAAACTGTGCCATCACCAGGACCATAACATGTGAGTTTGTGACTTTAAGAAAAGAGAACATTTTGTATTCTTTCCCCCTGAATTTTCTTCTAAAGCAGTTCATATTGTGATGATAATTGCTCAGTGTAAACAATTCCAGTTGCTCTAGAGAGCTCCAAAACTTGCATATTTAACACTTTACCACAATCACTTAGCTAAAAAAAAAAAAAAAAAAATTAAGGATATCATAAACTTTGAATAGTATGGAGATAATCTCTATTCCTTTCACCCAAATACTGGTTTGCCCAAGCCTTTTCACTGAGAATGCACCAACACCCCATTCCATGAACCATGAATCTAAGCTTTATCCTTGTCTCCCTTGTATTTTCAGTGCATCAGTTAGCAAGGCCACAGCAATCCTGAAGCACAGCCTGTGTGTTGCATAGTCCATCATTTCTACTAACACTCCTATAGGCCTATCCTTTTTCTCCCCGAGCTACAAAACACTCCACTCTGGCCTTCTGTCTCGCACTCCGAATCTTTTCAATGCTTCCGTAATTATTTCACTATTTAGGTAACATCCATTATCAACATTCGGTTGTCAGACAGGCTCCCACCATGTTTCCAACAAGCTCCACAACTTTTAACACGGTCCACAAGTGTTTCATGGCCTGGCACACCTTCTTTTTTGCAGTGTACTGTAAACTATCATTATGTGCTCCAGATAACATGACCTCTGCACATCTTGGTTGAATGTGAGCACGAGTATGTCATGATGGCTCTTGCAAGAGACACTGACAGACTCTGTTCTTTTTACTTCCTCACAACTACTTGCCTGAGCTGGTTCCTTATAGAATTTAGGATAGAATTGCCTCTATTACGATTTTACAACTATATATTTTATTTGTAGCCCAGATTATGGTCTGGCATTATATTTTTATTTATTTTTTGTTTGTTTACAGTAATGGTTACTTGTGTTTCTTACTGATATTCAAATGTCCCAAGAGCACAACATGGATGTTTTTCAACATTT